TTCGAGTCACGCTGGGGGTGCTGATGGGGCCTAGATGAGACTGAATTTTGGGAAACAAAGCTATGTGAAATTCAATGGAAGCATGAGACCTAATCATATTATAATGAAAAATTCAATTATCAGTACATCATCTAAAACAAAATAGGGTGAATACAGCTTTTGGATCAGATCTATTGGTAGTCTCGAAAACCTAACAATGAAATGAACAACACATGCAATCTAATAACTAATACTTTTGAAATCTGATCTCATGATATAAGTAAGCAGGATATGATACACTATATGATACGATATATATCATACAAGTTTTCGTTATTGAAAAGATTGATAAAACTGTGATTATTGGGAGAAGCCTAGCTTTCCTGCCCTGTCACCGACTGGCGTAGGGGTAACATGTCGAAATTATACCCTGCACTCTTGATGAGATCCATGAGAGATCGGAACCACAGTCAATTCTGGATGAGAATACCTTTTGTGATGCAAGGCTAAGTAAAACTCAATGACATCGTGAAACCTAATCTTCGCATAGTGGAAAAATTCACTATCAGTTTTTCATCACCTTAAGCTACAAAAGGAGACCAGACCCCATATTCAAGAGTCTTGAAACCCTACTAACTTACGAATATAAATGATAGTCTTCATATCCTACTCAATTCGTATATCAGGTTGTCTTGCTTTTGTCTGCTTTGCTACTTCGGGCACTGAAGCTAGACAGGAATTTAGCTAATTTCTTTTACTACCCCTCATTAGTAATGTACCGCAGTCTAGACCCTGCCAAAGCTGCACCAGTTTGCTTCTGGCGAGGTCCGTGAAGTCTGTGCATTCTTATATTGAAGCCCAGAGTTTGTAAGCATGCCCAAATTCTGGCCTCGGTGAACGTAGGCGTATGGGAAAGTGACGTTTTCAGTTATCATGGCAACACGCAGCAGTATGTGTAGGCCTCCAAGTGTGAAGCCTGCAGTTATTGTTGCAATCATAGAAAGGCCGATGGAATTATCTACAAAGAGAAGAACAACTATTCAATGGGCAGTCACTTACTCGAACAAATATCTGTGTACTTTTGTCACCAAAGAGATAGCGACCTTCGCTGAGTCGTACCATCGGGAAGGTCTGGGCACAGGTGCATTGCGAAAGAATCTCCCGTACCTGTCGAAAAGAAGAAATGTCAAAATGCAGAAGGGGTTTAAGAAAGAAGTAGAGATGGTATAATAAGACGGCAATTGCTTTTATGTGAGCGAGCCACTTCGGGTTACTCAGACCAGAAATGTCTATGTGCCAGTTAGTTTGGAACGGAGTGATGAACCAAGTTGTCGCACTGTTTTCCTGATTATGTAAACAAAGGGTAAACACAAGGATTTATTTTCCACTACAATGCACATAGTAGTTGCAAAAAAGGCTGAAAATAGCCAAAAAAGTTTTAAATGTGGCCGTTAGTTTGATTAAGGCCTACTTTTGTACTAGAAATGAATGAGGAACAGGATAGAGAGTGGGCTAAGAGTGAACGGAAGATTATCACTTCGCATTGTCATTCCGCCTCAAAAAACTTCACAAGTAGAAGAAAATATGCGAAACTTCGGCAAAATTGCATGAAAGTCTGGATACAACCTGGCTGTGTCTCGAAGCTATGAGGCTCAGATCGCATGAAGCACTGCTCACATGCAGGGGTCAGACTGTAGACAAGATGCGCGGTTTGTTGTGTTTCAGGCAGTGCTAGATGCAAGAAGAAATGAAAAACTTCAGGTGTATACTATTAGAGGCCAGTAATATGCACTAATGGTGAGGACACGATTGTTTAAAAAAACACCCACCTCGTAACTCTGTGACATCAGATATATATGACCTAGGCAGCCAAGTACTCTTCCTAACTCTTTGCATCTATGATCAGAATCCCACGAAAAAAAGTCCACTGGAAAATGGAGCCTTTTCTTCAATTAATTGTGGGTTGATCAACCCTCGGAGCCGTCAATAGTGTATCCTATCCATAATTGCGAAATTTTGCACATGTCTTGTCAATCATACACAAGATAGGTATTATCCTGGGATGAAAAAACTTAATCTTACTCTATCAAGGTTTTAAGAAGCTTGTGAAAGCTTGGTTTAATCGTTTTTTCTAAATTTGTCATGCCGCCATGGTGACTTCGAATAGCATACTCTGTATCGCGTAATTTCACATTGTTGTCCTATGATTTTTAAAGTACAGGTAATTGACTATGATGCCAGCGAAAAGTCTTTAAATGCACCGAGTCAACGGTTTGGCGCTGGAAAAAAAATGACAACAATGGAAGCGGACCCGGTGCAGGATAGATTCTTTAAATCTCTCTAAGAACACGAGTATGTTGCGTAAATAAGGTCAAACCAACGATATACAGCGGATAAAACTAGCATAAATAGTTAATAGTACTCCTCGTTGAGACGAATTATCAAATCCAGATCGGGGATTCGTTTAGGATCAAATAAAAATATGGATTCCCTCACATCTCTCACTTTCTCTCGGGGAAGCTGAGCCTTTTGAGGAAAGTTAGGAGCAATTGTGCTCTTGCCTTTGACAACACTGATATAGAGCGTATAAAAGTAACGCTGTCATTGGACTTTTCATTTTTACAGAAAAGTTGGTTTAAAAGGATTCGTATATTGGCATAAAAGGAAATTGATGGAAAAATCGCCTTAGAATTTGGAGTGTTGGAATATACGAACAAGCTATTCGCGTATTGTATTGCTCTCATCTGTTGTTTGACATATATTGTCAGTACGTAAAACGATTCTTTAGGTATTTTCTATAAAAGTAGTTTTCGAGACTGTTAGTAATTCTTTAATAAAAGCTTGATCAGGTGATTTAAGTACAGATATTTGAGTTTTCCCACAATCGGACGAGTAAGCTCCATGATACTTTGCCTCCTCATAGGCTATCACATCTAAGCTGGACTGTACTGCAATTTCCACTTCACCTAGGTCTCATCAGCACCCGAATGTGGGTCGTGAGTATCTTGACGACGCTAACACTCCCCAACACGGCTACAGGTGCCAGTGGGTCAAAGGGCAGATGTGACATTAATGGAAAGCCATGTCTCTCCCAATTCACATTCGCCTCATAATGGGAAAACTTAAGTATCAGTCCTATAGTGATTAGGCTCTTATTCAAGAATTACTATTATATCAAAAACTAATTATATCGCAAATAAATAACGCCATCGAATGTAATGTTTTGCTAATCGAAACACCTGTTAGAAATGTGAATTGGGAGGGGTCTGGCTTGCCTTGAATGCCGTATCTGCCTTTTGACCCACTGGCATCTGTAGTTCTGTAGTGAAGTGGTAACGTCATCAAGGTACTTACGACCCTGAAGCGAATCCCGGTATGGTGGCTAATGAAACAGGCGAGGTCAAAATTGCAGTTTACACTGGATGAGATAGCCTTTCGGGGGAATTCAATGATATCTTGAGGCTTACTCATCCTATTGAGGGAAAACTCAATTTTCAGTCCTCAAATCAACTAGGGTGAGTCTTATATTTTGGATAAACTTTCCTGAGTTCCAAGACAGGATTAATGCTCGGCTGAATTTGTTCACCCTATTTCGTTTAAGGTGATGAAGGACTGGTAATTAAATTTTTCCACAATCATATGAGTAGAGCTGACGTCGTTTAACTCACAATGGGGGTGTTGATAAGACCTAGGAAAGGTCGAAACTATAGCCAACTCCTGCCTGAGTGAGAATACTTTTTGGGAAAGCAAAGCTATGTAATATTCAATGGAAACATCAGCTCCACTCATATGATTGTGGGAAATTCGACTAACAGTCCTTAATCATCTTAAACGAAATAGGGCGAATACATCTCATATTACTGATTTACTGGTAGTCTCGAGACCTTGCTTATAAACGTAAACTAAATTTGTTCATTTAATGAGGCATCTCATGATTGGGTTGGTTATTTCATGCCTTCCCAACAAGCTTGTAGCTAAGCAAAGTGGCTACTTTAAGGCTCGCGTTGGTGTTATGCCCGAACCCACTCATTCCTCAGTCAAGCTGTCTAAGTTACCAAAATAAGTGATATAATTCCAGTGGATTCATGGCTTCCTCGGCTTTCTGGCCTTGCATAGGGTGTTCTTCAAACCAGAATATTAAAAAGAAGTATATGTGAAGAAAAGTTGGGTTTCGAGGAATCCTTTGTTTGATAATTGTTAAGCTCACTTCCATTTCCAATCAAAGTGTTTGGTGAAGAGATTCGAATGTCGATTCCACCAGAAGACGAAGGCGGATTCCTCTTGACCAGCTGTGGATTGACTCTACTGGAACATTTATGTTGACTATGTTTCCGAGGTAATATCTTTCGATTACGGTGAGAACATGCTACGCTTTCGTCTGTCATATGACGAACATCATCAGAGCAAGGTATCATCCTTAAAACCAAATTCAAGCTAACGAGTCAAGAAAACTCACCGGCTCATCCATAAAAAGCTGTATATCTCTTTGACCTCTTTGATGAGGTATAAAGTGATTTGGTTAGATCCAGTCATATATAAGCCTCGGAGCATGTGAATGTGTCTGTCTCTGTATGTGTATGCGCCGATATGCGTTCGCACATGTACGAAGAAAAACAAGAACTTTTAAGGGGTTCGCTTAAAGATGTGTATAGCATGTCTGGTGTACAGAATTCGTTAATAGATTGCGGCTTGCCTACCTTTCATTTAGTTAGGAAAGCGAATGCAAGGAATTCGTAAATTGGCCTCATCAGCTGCTTTGTACTGCTGGATTGTGTGAAGAAGGCCTAGACTCAACTTACTGCAACCCCGGTGAATTCGTGCTGGACTTTCGTTTGTCAATTGAATCATGGAATGCCTCGTTAAGATCGCAAATTTAGATACAAGATGCAAGTAGGATTTAAGCCGGCCATTTATCTTCGCCTGGCATTTTGGGGGAATTATATGGAACTGAAATTTTATGGCTCTGACTATGTTCCTCACATGACGGATGAAGGCTCAGCACGGATTTATCGCAGTGACAAGAAGGTAAGCTGCTGACTTCTTCGCATAAGCAATAAGTCACAGGTCCAAGGCAAGCCTCCTTCAATGTTAGCTGAGATCAATTTACGAATCCCTTCCTCATGCCTTTTCAAACGAAATGAAAGGTACGCCAGCATCAATCTGCTGTACAGTACTGTATCAAGATAGTAACCTCAGATGTGTCGTCGAGGGGAAATGGGAAGGATCAAAATAAGTGGCGGTTCATAAAAATAATAAAGATTAATGGAAATATACGCGATATTATGAAAGATCAAGCTGGGCCAACCGATTGGAAAGTAAGTGTAAACAATTATTATAATTAGAACCAGAATAGTCAAGAGTAATTTCTAGCATATATACCTTATTTTCACCTGGCCAATGAGTCCTTAACAGCAAATAATCATTAGTTAGAGTTGCAAAAGTGAGACATTAATTATATTTATTGGACAAAAGCATAATGATGTTGGGGAGACTTTCATTTCGTATGAAAGGGCATGAAGAAGAGATTCAAAGGTCGATCTAACCAGAAGAGGACGTCTGATTCCCGTAACGTAACACTTTTACAAGAATGTGTTACAGCTCTGATGATATTCTAATAATATGATGAAGGAAAGCTTACCCCATTTTGACCCTCAACGAGGAAGGAGGTCTCGGGGACTGCGTCGACCTGAAGGTCGTAATAAATTCGAAAGGCTGCAGTACAACGGGAATCAGCTGTCCTCATTTGGTAAGATCGACCTTCGAATCTCTTCTTCATGCACTTTATACGAAATGAAATTCTCTCCAACAATGTCATCTTAGGATATCCATCGAAATACAGTCACATTTAGTATCCACAAAAGCAGATGAGTCCTAATAAGAGACTTTGTTATGAAACGAGTTGTAGGGTTTGTCAGAGGAATAGGTTTCGAAACTATAAGTAAATTTTCAATAAGAGCAAGGTCGCCTTAAGAGGCTAATTTCAATATCATTCATACATCAGCATAAGCGAACTAAAGTGACTTATGTTCTTAACATTATAAGAAGACGGATAGAAGTGATTTGAGAATAAAGGATTTTATTTGACGTGGCCCTAAGATTAGCACCTAATTTCGTAAATCATGAGGTTCGGATCCATGACTCAGATCACCCATCCATTGATACGTCCAGCTTTCGCACCAGATCATCATATGCAATTGATCAGTTATTCTACATCTTTATCTTTTTTACCATATATTTCTTTTTCCGCCATCCCTTCTTGTGTTGACTAATGTATCTTCTGGTCGTCCTACTTTAACTTTATCTTTAAGTAAAGTTTCACTCAACTCTCGATCGCTCTCTCTTCTCTCATTCAGGCCATTCTTTCATACCCTGATACTCAGAAGAGATTATTTATGATGCTCCCTCACATGAGTCGGCCATCGATTGAATCGGCTGATCTTGACCTGCGGTATACATGCCCAAATCGGGTCGGCTGAGATGAGCCGGGCCCTCAAAATGCGTGCTTACCAGGACCCCAAAAGGTGTCAAAAATACACGGGGACCCGGAAAAGCGCCAAACAGACACAGGCGATGCAAGGAACGTGAAAAATAATATGAGATCTATTCACCCTATTTCGTTTAAGGTGATGACGTGAAAAATAGCCAGACCATCCGATATGCATCTAAATATTTCACATTTGAGCCTTATACTCTACACATGTACACTCAAATACAAATAAACATACATGCACACACACACACGAATAAGCTTATTTATTCATTTGCGGAGTTTTGCTTCACAAGCACGTGTACAAAACT